TTTTATTATATTGGATCAGACTATCCATTAGCAATTTATATTTCTCTGGTTGTTTAGATCTGACTTTATTTGTGTGAGAAGTGTTTTGTAATTGTGTTCATATAGTTCCTGGGTTTGTCTTGGCAGTAGACTCTCAAGTATTATATTGTCTAATAGTTATTCTAAATGGAATTTCTCTTTCTATCTCTTTTTTTTTTGTTTTGTTTTGTTTTTTGTTTTGTTTTAGGCAGCTGGGGTTAAGTGACTTGCCCAAGGTCACACCGCTAGTAAGTGTCAAGTGTTTGGTCTGAGGCCAGATTTGAACTCAGGTCCTCCTGACTTCAGGGCTGGTGCTTTATCCACTGTGCCACTTAGCTGCCCCTCTTTCTATCTCTTGCTGCTGGACTTTGTCGATAAATACATAGAAATGCTGATGATTTGTGCGGGTTTATTTTATATCTTGCAACTTTGCTAAAGTTGTTCATTATTTCAACAAGTTTTTAAGTTGATTCTCAAAGTATACCATCATAAAGTCTGCAAAGAGGGACAGTTCTGTTTCTTCATTGGATGTTCTAATTCCTTCAGTTTTTTTTTCTTGTCTTATTGCTATAGCTAGCATTCCTAGTACAATATTGAATAAGAGTGGTGACAATGGGCATCCTCCCTTCACTCCTGATTTCATTGGGTAGGCTTCTGACTTATCCCCATTAAGATAATGCTTGCTGATGGTTTTAGACAGATACTGCTCATAATTTTAAAGCAAGCTCCACTTATTTCTTTGCTTTCTGGTGTTTTTAATAGGAATGAGTATTGTATTATGTCAAAAGCTTTTTCTGCATCTATTAAGATAATCATATCATTTTTGTCGGTTTTGTTATTGATATGGTCAGTTATACTGATAGGTTGTTTCTACTTTTTTATTTTCATTTTTTTCCCGCTTAATAGTTTTTTTTTAAATTTTTTTTCAATTACATGTAAAGATAGTTTTCAACATTCACTTTTATAAGATTTTGAGTTCCAGTTTTTTCTCCCTCCCTCCTTCCCCTCCCTCCCTCCCCAAGAGGGCAGGCAATTTGATATGGGTTATACATGTACAATCAAATTAAACATATTTCCACATTAGACATGTTGTGAAAGAAGAATCAGAACAAAAGTAAAAAGCCATGAGAAAGAAAAAAGAGTGAGAAAAAGTATCATTCAGACTCCGTAGGTCTTTCTCTGGACGCGGATATCATTTTCCATCATTAGTCTTTTGGAATTGTCTTAGATCATTGCATTGCTGTGATAGTTCTTCTAATATTGAACCAAGTCTGCATTTCTGGTATAAATCCCACCTGGCTATAGTGTAAGATCTTTAGGATATGTTGTTCTAATGTCTTTGCTAGTGTTTTATTTTAATTTTCTGTTGCATCAACATCCATTAGGGAAATTGGTCTATAGTTTTCCTTCTCGTTTTTGCTCTTCCTGGTTTAGGTATCAGCACTGTATTTGTGTCATGAAAGGAATTTGGTAGAATTCTTTCTTTGAATTAATTGGTCTTTAAATGTTTGGTAGAATTAACTTGTGAATCCATCTGGTCCTGGGTATTTTTTCTTAGGGAGCTCATTGATGGCTTGTTCAAAATTTTTTTTTTTTTTTTTTTTTTTTTTTTTGGTGTTTGGGGTTAAGTTATTTCCCCGGGGTTGCACAGCTAGTAAATATCAAGTGTTTGGTCTGAGGCCGAATTTGAACTCAGGTCCTCCTGACTTCAGGGGCAGTGCTCTATCCACTGTACCATCTAGCTGCTCTGTTCAATTTTCTTTTTTAAAGAATTATTTAGGTATTCTACTTCCTCTTCTGCTAATCTGGGCAATTTATATTTCAGTAATTATTTATCCATGTTACTTAGATTGTCACATTTATTGGTATATAATTGGGCAAAATAGCTCTTAATAATAGTCTTTAATTTCCTCGTCATTGGTAGTGAATTCACCTTTTTCACTTCTGATACTGGTAATTTGGTTTTCTTCCTTTTTTAAAAAATTAAATTAACCAATGGTTTATTTTACTGTTTTTTCCCCTAAAACCAGCTCCTAGTTTTATTAGTCCAATTAGTTTTATTTATTAGTTTTCTTACTTTCAATTTTATTAATCTCTCCTTTGATTTTTAGGATTTCCACTTTGGTATTTAACTGGGGATTTTTAATTTGTTCTTTTTCTAGGGTTTTTTTTTTCAGTCACATGCCCAATTCTTTGATTTGCTCTTTCTCTATTTTATTGATATATGTGCTTAGAGATAAAAAACTTTTTCCTAAGTATTGCTCTGGCTGCATCTCATAAATTTTGGCATGTTCTTTTATTATTATCATTCTTTTTAATGAAACTAATTGTTTCTGTGATTTCTTCTTTGCCCACTCATTCTTTAGGATAAGATTATTTCATTTCCAATTAATTTTTAACCTATGTGTTTAATTCTTCTCCTTTTCTGCATTTGTTTGTGAGGTTTTTTTGTGAAGGTGCCATGTACAGTTGAGAAAAAAGGTATATTCCTTTCTGTCTCCTTTTACTTTTCTCCAGAGGCCTATCATATTTAACTTTTCTAAGATTTAACTCCTTAACTTCTTATTTATTTTATGGTTAAAGTTATCTAGCTCTGGGAGGGGAAAGTTGAGGTCCCCCCCAGTACAGATCTACTGCGTAATTCCTCCTGCAACTCATTTAACTTTTCCTTTCAGAATTTGGATGCTATGCCATTTGGTGCATATATTCTTAGGGTCTCGGGCTTGTGTTCTCTGTAAAGTTCTGTCCCCTGCTAGCTGCTGTCTTTTGTATATACTTATGTTCATATGTCTTCCCCAATAGAATATAAGTCTTTTGAGGGCAGGGATTGTTTCACTTTTGTCTTTGTATGCCCATTGCTTAGGACATAGTACTTAGAACATCATAGGTGCCTAACATTTTATTTTTAAAAATAAATTTTATTGATATCTTTTGATTTTACATTGCCTAAGTTTCCCTCTACCCTTTACCCTCCCCTCTCTGAGACAGCCATTTATATAACAAAGGAATTCACAGTCTAGTGAGGGAAGTAACATGCAAACCACCGTGTATAACAAGCTATATGCAGGATAAACAGAAGGAAGGCATTAGCAGCAAGGGGGCATCAGGAAAGGTTCTTGGAGGAGGGGGGTTTTTGCTGGGACTTAAAGGAGCCAGGAGATGAGGGGGAGCATTCCAGGCATGGGGGACAGCCAGGAAAATGTCAGAGGCCAGGAGATGGAGCAAGAAGGCCAATGTCACTGCAGTGAGTGGAGGAAAGTTAAGAGAAGACTGTAAAGGTTGAGGTGTAGTGTTCAGTACTTTCCCATAGACTGATTCCAGTATGATCTCACAGAATAACAAGTGATGTGAATACAGTATTGATACACATTAGCTCATTTGAAACACAGGACAACCGTGTGAGGTAAGTGTTCCGGCTATTTTTAATCACCATTTTACAGATAAGGAACTTGACTTAGGAAGGGTCACACAGCAGGGTTAGAACTTGAAACTTCTTCCGGCTGAACGTCCTGATACATACAGCTCCGAACCTGAAGTCAGGTAGATCTGAGGCAATAACTAGCTGTGTGATCCTGGTCAAGTCACTTAACTTCTGCTTGCCTCAGTTTCTTCATTTGTCAAATGGGGATAATAATAGCACCCTCCATCCCAGGGTTGTTGTGAAGATCAGAGGTAATAATTGAAAGGCACTTAGCACAGTGCCCAGCACAGAGAGAGTGCTATTATTATGTGTGTTGGCTATTATTAGCTATTACTCCAAGTTTAATTCTATCTATACCTTGCAATTCTCCATAGCATACAGACCAGCCCTTTCTACCAGCGGGTGCAGAATAAACACCGACAGCTGAAAGGAATTAGACTGATCCAAGAAAAATAGGCTTCTATGTTCAAATGCGATTTTAAAAAAGGGCCATTCTAAATCGCTCTGGAAAGCAGTCTAAAGTTGAATGTTAAATAGAAGATTACTGAAATTGATGCATCGGGTAGTTAGTGGTGATACTACGGTGAACCATGGGACAATTTCTGAAAGAAAAGAAAAAGTCTGAGGCTCTGAGTGCCTTCCCTTTCTCCTTGCCACCCAAAGTGGTGCACAGAGGATTTGCAATCAGAGGGCCCCTCACTGCTCTCCCCTCTCTCTGGGCCTCAGTTTCCTCTTCTGCAAAGTGAGGAGGCGGGGCAAAGTCCCTGCTCCTCTGCATCTATGGACCCCTATTCGAGGCCCTAAGAGGGCCGGTGGCCATTCGCTCGGGGGTCACTCGACGTGATCGGGAGCACCCCACTTTTCCTCTCCTATACCATGAACAACTATATGGATATACGAAGAAATACATGGCACGGCCCTGGCTCCGGGACTTCTGCGGGTTTGCTCTGGGATGCATCCCTGATTCGTCCTGGCAAGCCCTTCCCTCGCTCCGCAAGGAGGCGGGAGAACTACAATTCCCAGGGTGGGGAACTACGCGTCCCACAATGCCGTGCGCGGAGCCGCAAGGAGCCGAGCCGCGGCCACTGAGCATGAGCAGAAGCAGCTGGCGCTAGCTGTGGGCAGCCGCGGGGCCGTTGGGGCCGGCTGGCCGGACGGACGGCGTGGGCGAGCCTGAGCCGCGGGGAGTGCGCGGGAGGGGGTCTGCCCAGCGGGGGGAGGGCGGGGCGGCGCTCGCGGCGCGGAACGAGGCCTCGGCGCGGGCATCGCCAGGTTCCATCCGGGGCGGAGACTCGGCTGGAGCTCGGCCGCCGCAGCTGAAGCTGGAGCCGGAGCCGGAGCCGGAGCCGGTGCAGGAGGAGGGGCCGCGCCGGCGGCCGCAGCAGTGGAAGCTGGAGCAGCCACGGGAGCAGCAGCAGCTGCGGCAGCAGCTGGAGCGGGAGCAGCCGCGGGAGCAGCCGCAGCAGCTGCTGGAACCGCGGGAACAGGAGCAGGAGCAGCAGCAGCAGGAGCAGCAGGAGCCGCGGCAGCGGCGGCTGCGGCGGCGGCGGCCGTGGTCGTGGCCGTGGCCGTGGCCGTGGGCAGCCTACGTGCACGACGGGGATCCGGCCACCTGTCCCGGCTCCACCCCGCGCATCAGCAGGTGAGCCTGGGGGGGGCGCGATCCGGGGGTGCAGGGGCGCAGGGGCTCCCCTCCCACCGCTCCCACCCCTCCGGCCTGCCCCGCGGGACTCCCGCACTGGGTGGGGCGGGGGAGGGGGCGCCATCCAAGCGCGTCAGGCGGACATCAGCCTCGAGAGCGCCCCCCAGCGCCTTCTGGTGTGGCTGGCGTGGGGGCGGGGGCGCGCCATCGCGGCCCTAGGTGACAGTTGGTTTCGAGGTGGGAGCTGGAAGGAGGTTTCCCGAAGTGCGCATGCACTTTGCCAGAAAAGTCCCTCCTTCGAGGGGGAAGAGGCTGGTGGGCTGTGTGTGCGAGGACAAAAGGGGCAGCTGTCGTGGTGGGCCCGATGGTGGTCCGTGCTTTGGGCCGGGGCCCTGCATAGATGACCCCCGAGAATCAGTTTGGGGGGCAGCTGAGCTTAAGGAAGCGGGGAGAGGACCCGATCGGCTCGATGGGCTGGGCATGTTACGGGGGAGGGGGATGATGACATCTTCTGGGATGATGCTTTTTCCCTTTTTCGCGGTTAGCTGCTAGGCCAGGGCTTGCATTTTGCAGCTCGTTGTGAGCGCCACGAGGGAGAGTCTAGGCCTGAAAAGCCGTCCTCGTGCAGCTTTGCTAAATTGTAGCGATTTTTCTTTCTAGACTGACGTTAACAAATGGTCGATTTCATTGAATGGAAGCTGCTGTTGCAAGGGTTGGCCACGAGGGGTGCCGCTGTGAGAATGCGGCTATCTCAGGGCGCTAGCCGGCATTGCTACCAGAAAGGCAATTATTCAAAGAACATGGATTCAGAATCCTAAGACCCGGGTTCCCGTTCTAGCTCTGTCTCTTTCTTACTCAGTGCATAAAATGTTGGGCCTGGAGGCAGGAAGGCCAGAGTTCAAATGCAGCCTCAGGCACTCACTAGCTGGGTGAACCTCTGTCTGCCTCAGTTTCCTCATCTGTAAAATGGGGACAATAACAGCACCTCCCTGGAAGGGTTGTTGTCAGGATCAAATGAGGTGATAATTGTAAGACACTTGGCACGGTGCCTGGCACATAATTAGTGCTATCTAAATCTTAGCTGTTACTGTTGTTACCTTGTGACCTCGGGAGAGCCTTTTAACCTCCAGAACCTTAGCCGCTGCTGTTATTGTTACTATTATTGTTGTGTGACCTTGGGGAGGCTCTTAATCTTCTTGGCCCTAGCTTCCTCTTCTGTAAAATGAGGAGTTGGACCAGCTCACGTGTACACTCCCCTTCCAGCCCTAAATCTGTGGCTTAGATCAGGGCACTTAGACTTGTACAGGGCAGTCAGGCTGGACTGGGAATCAGAGGACCCCAGGTCCTCTGTAGGATGGGGTTTGGCCTAGCTCGATGCCCTCTGAGGTGCCCTCTGGGTTAGATGACTTGCCCCAGGTCACACAGGTGGGAAATGATGGAGCTGGGCTCTGAACCCAGCTCCTCTGATTCCAGATCTCACGCCTTTTCTCGAGCGCCGCCCAGCTTCCTACCTTCTCTTAGAGCTCATCAAATCCAGCCTCGTCCTTTTTACAGATGAGAAAGCCGATGCCCCAGAGGGGAAGCAGTCTGCATTAGTTCACTGTGGTAGAAAGCAACAGATTTGCACTCCTGCTTTCTTACTCTTGATGGGAGGGGGCTCTTTCCACTCTACTGGGCAGTATCTCGACAAGTTTTCCTTTGTTTATATGAAGGATAGTGTGTTAGGATTTGAAAAGCAAGGTCCTAGGTTCACAGATCAGCCTGATCCAACTTCTCCTTTTTATGGATGAGGGGACTGAGTCCCAGAGGAGTCAAGGACTTGCCCAGGGGGTACCCAGGTAGTAGTGGCAGAGGACAGCAGCCCTCTCAGACATCGTTTCAAATCTGTTGTTCTGCATGACCTTGGTTCTGACTTCCCAGGCTCCTTTCCTTAGTTTAGACATGGTTCATTATTCTAGTGGATTGCATGGACGGAATTGAAGCAGTTTGAAATAGAATAAGGAAAAGGTCGGGGGGGGGGGGAGGACAGGGTGAGGCGTGTTGACAAGAGACCTCCTGACCTAGAATGAGTAATGCGCCAGATTTTTAGGAAAAATAGGCAAATTGGACCTGGATTTGTAGCTGTTGAGCTGGAAGGGGTCTCATGTCTGACTAATTCTGTTCCCTCATTTTACAGAAAAGAGGTTAAGAGATTTTCCCCCAAGTCACACATGTACTAAGTGGCAAAGGCAGAATTTGAACCCTAGGCCATAAGAAAGCCAGCTGATGTCAGGGATTGCCTTTTTTTTTTTCCCCCAAGGCAGATAATTCCCTGAATAACTCCAGGGGTCCATATGGATGCCTCTCATTCTCTTAGCTCCCCAGTCTGTTTATTGGGAGCTAATGTTCAAAATGAGGCCCCGAGGCCCCCAAGATCCTGAGTCATTGAGGAAAGATGAAATTATCCCAGGCTGTCAGCACCGGGAGGGACCTCAGAGACCATCTCCCCCCTCCTCTCGGTTTCCCGCTGACCAAGCTGAAGCCCAGAGAGTCAATGACAAAGCTGAGACGAGAAAGGGGACTTTGCTCCGTCGGGATCTTTCCGTCACAAGTGGGCTGCCGGACCTCCAGAGGCTGGGGGTGTTTCCCCCAAGCCTTGATCTGGGAAGGTGGGGAGTGCCTGGTGTTTGTATCAGACACCCTGAACTGGGGAGAGGGGGCCCTTGGGTCTAGAGTCTGACCGCCTTGTTTTTCAGATCAGGAAACCAAGGCTCAAATAAGTGAAACGACTTGCCCAGAGTCGTCCAACTGGCATTAGAGGCAGTATTTAAACCTAGAATTTTCTACTTCCTGCTGTCTGGCTGCTGTAATACTCCTTTAGGGAGCAAAGGATGCTGTGTCAGCAAAGACCCCTTGTGGATGGCAGTGGGTTACTGTGGTCTGTCTTACTCCCCATCTGGGAGTCGCAGGAAGTGATTGGGCTAGGGGCTCGACAGATGCAGAGCAGAGTTTATCTACTTACTGAGGTTGAGCACAATGCAAGGAAGTGGATAGAGCACCAGCCTTGGAGTCAGGAAGGTCTGGATTCAAGCCTTACCTCTGACATAACTGGCTGTGTGACTGTAGGCAAGTCCCTCAACCTCTCAGTGTCTCAAGCAACTCACTAAGACTCCAAGTGTACATGATGTATACATATATATAATATGTAATCTATAACAACGATGATAATAATTGACCGTATATATGGTGCTTCAAGGTTTGCAAAGGACTTTCCACACATTAGCATGTTGGCCCACAACCACCCCATGAGGTAGGTATTATAAACATTACCATTGTCTCCATTTTACAGATGGGGAAACTGAGGCAAAGTAGACTAAGACCTCAGCAATCTGTGATTTCATTCATTTGGATATTCCACCCACCGGTATAGGTCTCAGCCCCGTCCCGTCCATTTTAGTGGGTGGTCTTTGAAAGAGTCTGTGGATGAAAAATCCAGGCCCTTGCTGACAGTCAGATGCTAAGCTTCTTCAGATTAGGTGATGGGGCCCTCGAGTGTCAGAAAGTAGAGTTTGTTGCCAACTTTTATGCTGAGCCTTTCTGGCTCACTGGGACCTGCCGGTGTCCCCGTTGGCCCAGCCTTCCAGAGCCCAGGGTCACCCCAGTCTCATGGGGAGACTCATCAGAGGACTTTAAAGGAAAAAACTGGAGAAATTTTCAACAAGACAAAGAGGTCTGGTTAATCGGAAGTCAGCAAAGGTTAATCAGAAAATTCACTTAACCAGAATATTGCTCCCTGGGCATTCTGGGTTATTGAGATGTTGTGGCTTGTGGACCCAGGGACACATTAGAGGGTGTCATGTCCCTGCCGCCATCATCCTAGACCAGCGTTGCAAGTAAGATGGGGTACTGCTCCTAATTCTGTTCTTCACCCCGACCACAGATCCCCCCACCCCTCAGGACTTTCTTGGTCATTCCCCGGCTCTGACTTCGTTCTCAGCCCCAGAGTTGGCCTGTTCAACTCCGCGGCGTTCTCTGAGCTCAGATCCCTCGAGCTGCCTCCTCCTGCTCAGGAAGAGGAGGGAGGCACGCAGCTGGGCTAACTGGAGTACATCCTTTCATCTCAACCAGGCACTGCATCCAGGTATCCCTTCTGTTCTCTGACTGAGTCCATCTCGTTCCCCACAGAAGCTTCTCTTCTCTTCTCTCCTCAAGGCTTCCCTTTCCTGCCTTTCTCAGCTGATGACCTCATCACAGACTCCTTTGTGAAGACTGAGACCATTCACCATCAGCTCTGTCCTTTCCCCTTTTCATCTTAAAACCCTTTGACCTCATCCTCTACTGTTGTTCTTCTTCTAGTCTCTGATAATGTCCTTCCCCTTTCTAAGGCCAGTCCCTCTACCTGTGCCCCTGATTCTATCCCCTCCAGTCTTCTCTGTCACATTGTCCGCTCGATCATTACTACCACCCCATCTTTCCATCCTGAGTCTCTCCCCATCCACTGGTTCCACCTCAACTGTCTTCAAACATACCCATGTCCTCCCCATCCTTAAAAACCTTCACTAGACCCTGCCATCACCTCACAGTAGTCTCAGCCAAAATCGTAGAAAATGGCAACTCATCTCAACTTGGTTTCGCCTTGTTTACTCCTAAACCCTTTGTGGTACGGCTTATGACTTTATAATTCAACTGAAATGGCTCTCTCCGAAGTCATCAGTGACCCTTCATTGCCAGGTCGGATGATCTTTTCTCAGTGTTTGTGCTTCTTGACCCCACTGTTGTATTGTACCCTAGTGACCCCCCACCCCCATCCTGCAGCACATTCTCTCTTCCCTGGGTTTTCATGACACCACCACCAGGTGGTTCTCTTCGTACCTGTCTGACCACGCCTTCTCTTCACCCTAGCTCATCATTTGCATCATACCCCCAACTTGGAGTTTTCTCCGAGTTCTGTCCTGGGCACACTTCTTTTGTCTTTCTGTATTCTATCTCTTGGTGATCCCATCACTGATGAGTTTTATTTT